TATTTTCAGCTCAATTTCAGCAGCTTTCAGCTTAAGTATTCAGCATGAAGCATTCACACTAGCATTTTCGCAGGAAATGCAATTTCTCTAGTTTTATTTATTTTATTATTTATTTTTGCATGAAGACCACAGCAAACATTATCACCCACAGGCACCAGGTGCAGCTTACACAAGGCTTATAGCTAAAAGCTAATTTACAGCCCTCATCCCTGGTTTGGCTTTTTGATCTGAACAAAATAAAAGTTATTGACATAAATAAATGAGCACAGTGCAGTCCCRGTTTGCACAAATAAAATACATTAAAATACATGTCTAGTTTAAATTTCAGTGTTCACAGTGTTGTTGTTCTTTCAGCCAGTGCTTCAGTTTTGTTGTTTTTGTTTTAGGTGATGCAGGTTTTATCCCTTTAAAATCCTTTATAATATGACAACACTTAAACTGAAGAGTTGAAATGTTTRTAAGTGGATCCTCACCTGCCAAACTTGGCAAAATCACGTTTTACACTTGATCACGGCAGAGCTAGCATACAAAGCGCAGAAGACCTTTGAGTTTGAAATGAGCATCTGCTGATAAATGAAGCACAGTTTAGTGTTGCATGTGTGACAATCAAAGCAGTTTGTGTAAAGATTTTTATTTTATCAATCATGTTGCTGTGATTCAGCTTCAAAATGTAAAAAAATCAAAAATGCACGTCCAATTGCTCCCACACTGCTGTAAATTAAACGCTGGTGTAACAGTTTGAGTTTTTAAAAGTACATAATTTGATAAAAAGGTGTACCTTCTGTATACARTATTACAAATGGTAAAAAGAAGTAAACTTCCTCTGTGTCCATCATCTTTTATCGGCTGTTTAAATGATCCTCTTCTGCTTTGTCATTCTTTTTTATATTTTTTTCTTCTTTTTTAAGGAGCATAAAACAAAAAATCAATATGAATGGCACACAGTCAAGAGATTTCAGTCATTGTTTTCTTATTTTATTGATCTTTTTTCCTCCAATTTGTTCTGAAGCATTACACTATTGTAAAGTTTTTTTTTCTTTCAATAATAAAAGGAGACAGGCAGTTGTTGAACAACATCAAGTATCTTTCATATTAAAGAAATTCAATTGTTTCACACAACAGACAGCTGTGTTCTGTCTTCTGCAGAGCCAAGTTTCTCACTGCAACACCACTCTGTCTGAAGTGAAATGAAATTAAAACTAAATCTATATGTACATGACCAAAATCAATGAACAAAAGTGATTTGCTTTGTGTTCCATCTGTTTAACAGCATAAGGCAATAATGACTGAGCTGTTTCTCTGTTTTTTTAATCTTTTATACTCTTTCTGGAATAGAGTCGCTAGTTTATGGCACCGATCGCAGAACTTTGAAACAACATATAATTTTATTTGCACTGCTGAGTCAAACAAGCAAGACAGCAGTTTGTTTATTATGCAAAATCTCCTCCAACCATTAAAATGACTCCACATAAAGTCAGTTTTAGGAGATTTTTGCGAGGAGATTGTTAAGTTTTTGTGCTTCGTTGCTGATTTTTATTTTTATTTTGCGTGGAGGACACTTGCCGTAGGAATCACAATGCTGCCTGATTATCTCCTGTTGGTGAAACATTAAGTTCGTAGAACTAACAATGTCAGTATGTTGYCGGGAGTTGCGTAGTTGTAATTTGTATGGAAATACAACAAATGTGTGTGTATTTACAGCCATTTGGAGTTTTTGAATCTRGAGTAGTTCCGCTGCCTTCAAGCCTGCGACGGCGAGTACAAAATGAAACATTGATTGGGTTGTGAAGTGCTTGTCCCTCTCAGAAATAGCACAGTACTTCACTTCTAAATGAAGTCTAGATATTTCATAAGGTTCTTTAGTTGCTGAGAAAGTGGTGTCTTTGAAGTGAGCGTGTCCCCTGGTAGTTACTCCTCAGCTCTGGGAGAGCCGAGGAATATTTCAGCAGGATGTCTAAGATGTTCTCACACATGCTCTGTAGTTGGTGTATTAAGGGGTCATTCCATGTCCAGTCTTTTCCAACCAAGCTGAAAAGCACTTTCCACTGGGGATGTGTCCATTTGGATTTTTTWAAATATATATTTTATGTTTTATATGACTCCAGATTTTAAGACTTTTACAGATGAAAGAGTGTTACAGATTTCAAATTCATATTTCCCTGAACAATTCAACTGCTCCATAAAAAGAAAGCAATTACTTGAAAATGTTTGCGTTAGACATTTCCATCCCAGCATAATTATAATGTGTATTCTGTAATGGGAAATTGCCTTGAAGAATATTTGGAGATTGATTTTTCAGCAGCTGGATGCATGAAATGAAAAAAAAAAAACTTCAAACTTGTTGAAAGTTTAGAATTTTTTATTTTATTTAATGCACACATTGGAGCTTTTATATTTATATATAAAACAGGGTGAGCCGCTTTGCCATCAGCTGCTCCTCTGCATTGAAATGATTCAGCTGAGGTAGTCCAGTCCTGCCTACCTTTGGCTACACCTCCCACTAGAAGGAGACCTGGGTGCAGACCCTCATCTCACTAGAGGGGGTCTTAGATTYGATCAGATGAGGGTGGATGTGGAAATGCAGCTCTGGGTTCCTCTCCTGGATCWGTTGCCCACACGACTCAACCTTGGAGAAACGGAAAACGACGAATGGGTCYGTCAAGAGTTTTATKTATTTATTTTTTACTGCAGATACCTGTCTTTTTTTAATATTCTCTCTTGGTTACAAAGTAAAATGTGTCTTTCACCTGGAAAAAAAAGGTGCATAAATATTTATTTGATTTAAAGGTGTCGAGGAAACAAGTGCAGATTTCCAAACTGGCGAGATAAGAAGTGTTTAAATTTTCATGAATTCACCAGTAGTCTTGTTTTTGGCACTGGCCCGCACTCTAATTGGCATATTGCTGTTTTTTTTTTTTTTTTTTTKTTGTTTTTGGGAGGGTTTGTTTCGAAGAAGTCCATGAAATATGCAGGAAAAACAAGTTGCTACTTGTCCCTGTATAACAATGTTGTGCCAATTTTCCATCCTCCTTTGTGATAAAAAGATAGTAAATCAGACACCTCCTTCCCTCTTACAACCCAGCTTCACTTTTAAATGCAATCTCCCAAACATTTTCTAAAAATTTACCCCTTAAGCAGGACTGGAAAGTCACTAAAATTCATCTCCTGTTGGATTTTATCCTCCTGGCCTTTAGCATATAAACAAATAAAAATGTGCTAAGCTTATAAGTTTTGTTAATAAAAAGTTGGGAGCCTTTTAAAACACAGTTTGCCAAGTTTATCTTGACTTTTTAGTTTTTCAACAGCCTTTAATGTTTTAGCAACTGATGAAAAGAATTTAGTAAAAGGCTAATTTAATGCACCATAAGTCAGGGTTACCTGGATAGTAAGAATGAATGCTGTTTAAAGTTTTTACATTTTTATTTATGAATACAAAAAAAAAAACATAATTTGAAGTTGCAGATGTACATTCAGTGATGATGATCTCATGGAAACCCATCCATTAGTTCAGGAGATATTTGGCTAATACGTCAAAGATGGTAGATCTCATGTAACATTTTCTTATTCTCAAAGACAAGTTTTATAAATTATGATTTGCCTTGTTGTTTAAACCAGTTAACCATCAGCTGTAGGGCTGTACATTGCCCATGTAGGCTGCATAAACAGCTGTGAAATGAGAGGGTCTAGTCTACAAAGGATGTATGTTTGCGTGACCACATCTTTAGTTGTCTTTTCATGGTACAACGTCACAAAATTCAGTATTATTAAAACGCTACATGTAAATAAATGAAAAGGGTTTAGTTCCAGTATCACTTGTAAATGCATTTTATTTAACATCTCATTGCAGCATAAATTTCATCATCTAAGTTGCTAAACTTACATTTAAAGGGGGGATTATGCAAAATCWACTTTTTTGAGCGTTATGTCGTTATAATGTTATTCCCTCATTCCTTTGACTCATTCATGCATGTTGGAGAAATCTTTGAGTCTCCTGTGGTAGCCATGTGGAGCTGTCTAAACACTCGCTGGTACAAAGCTCCRCCTCTTTACATAAAGCTCCTCCCTGGAGCTCAGTCTGCATCCAAGCTCCCACCCTGAAATGGTAGGRAGCTCTTAAAGAGACCAATTTCAAGACAGTTAGATAGACTATGGTGTGATCAGATTTATATATACGGTATAGCTTTTTCATAACAACTCAAGGTAACATAGGCACGTGCCTAAAAAGCTTGTAATATCCCTCCTTTAAAAATGAAATCTTCAGTTCGTGCTAAATAAATTTTGAAATTCCAACATAAACTACAAAAACTCTGCTGTCTCCATTTTGTTGTTTAGTTTGCTGATAGCGCAATGAATTCTGGGATATCGCTGGCTGGAAAGGATRCACAGATGCAGCCTATATTTTTGTGGTTTTTGTTGGACACATTTGACAAATGCGCCCTACRTTGGCTGCARCCCCTTAATTTGAAACACWGCTTCKCTTGATATCTTTAATGACTTATTGTAAACTAAGGCCTGAGTAGACAGTAGATTATGTTTTTGTGAAATCKGTGTTTTGTCTAATTTCCCCGCCATCACTCTTATGATGTATGTGAGAAGTTGTTAGTCTGCTCAGACCAGACAAGGAGAGCAGTGACTGACAGGTGAAGACAGAACTGTATGCAGGAGGATGGGAGGGATGAATATTTGAGTAGATGTCATAAAAGAATCTCGTAATTGATTTTCTATCCAAGCCTCTATTTCATTTGTTGAATTAATGCGCACTTTTCAGACTGTGAGTCTCTCACATCATCATGAGTCATTATCTCATTGTGAGGACAAACTTTATTATACGATGATGATTTCGCAGATTTTAAGACCTCCGGCTAAACCACTCAGCTAAATGATGCATATTTGAATATTTTACTGCATTGTTTGTCACTGGAAATGGTTCCAGCCATTTACCCCCACATTATGTAGGCTGTGCTTTAATGAAACATTCTGTGCTTCTCTTCCTCCAACAGATGTGATCCACACCGTGGGCCCGGTGGCCAGAGGTTATGTGGGTCCTACAGTGAAGAACGATCTTACCTCCTGCTACCAAAACTCACTTAATCTGGTGAAGGAGCACGAACTGAAATCTGTGGTGAGTTTTTCACCTCATTAAAAGATCACGGATCCGTACGATTTTGAAAGTGGTAACAAGAAAGCTTTTTGTGTGAAGAATGTTGGTATGTTTACAAAATTTTGAAAAGGAACAGCATCAGAAGGATTTAGTATATTTTATTTTAGATACAGTTCTGAAAAGCCTTAATCTTCTTTGTGTAAACAAAGGCAACACAAAAACACAACAGAATGGTAATGCATTGTCAAATGAAAGCTTTTCATGTCGACTACTTTGGCAGGGCATTTGGCATACTTTCAAATAATTCATAAGCCTTTGTATAAACCAATCTTTATTGTGACATTGAATGGCTATGATGCTTTTCTTTTTGTTTGGGAAACAACCATGCTCCTTTTCATTTTTTTTCTACTTAGATTAGTTACATTTTAATAAGYACTTGTGCTGTATTTATGCACAGGTATTTCCCACCTTTTCTAAAGGAAGATCAAAGTTATTGACCAATCAAATTTAAATAAGTCAGTATCACAATAAAATAGCTAAAAATCCTATTTTGTGTACCAACCTACTGCCCTGCAGCAGCATCAGAGGCCAATCAGTCAAAGTACTTACCTACAGAGAGACATAGATGACTGTGAGTTTCATTAAAGATGATTGTGACAAACCCCTGCTCTGCTGATGACTTATTGTGAGAGCAACAGACTCCTCTAGAGAAGCCTCTCGGTAGCAATTAAACGAACTGTGAAGCCAAATGTCTGAAGTAGTCATGGTATTTACAAGCTATGTCAAAATCAGCAGCCCGACTACTGATCACAAAACTTTCCTAATGCCAATTGCATCTCCTAGAGTGTGATGAGCAACAGTCATTTAAAAAAATAAATAAACAATCTGTACTTTACCAAGTTTTGTGCCTGGAATCACAGGCAAAGACAGCATCTACTTTAAGCTCCACCTTTGGGCGTTTTGTATGGGAAACCTATTTGCAACCTTTGGAAAATGACACCCTAGTCCCAACTCACCTAATCTAAGACCCCAAGCATGACAGACGTAACCACAGTAATGGGAGATTATTTGTTTGCATTTGTGCTCAGTTAGAGCCAARCTGTTATATACTGTACCAAATGACTTTGATGGCTGATGATGTAGTSTTTATGAGGAAAAGGACTGTTTTAGAAAATCAGCATTCCCATGTGGATAAGGCCAAAAGCATGGGTCTTTACATGTTTTATTTTAGGAACCCTRAAGCAGGTTATGCGCTTTGGTTCATATACACCCCAGTACTTGTTTCTAGCACATTCCATGCTGTTAATCAGTGAATGCCCATTGTTTGCTTTATTTGTCCAGTAGTCTGTTTATTTAAATATACAATAYTTTGTTTATAGGCTGGATTTTGTCTAACATAGACAGCTGTTCTCTAGCATTTGTGATTGACTGGTATTGTTTGATGGGACCAATCGTTAAGCCATCTTAGCCACAGTTCGTTTTGTTTCTCCTTGCTGCAAGGACGTTACAAATTTTGCCAAAACCCGCCACAATTACCGAACCACATTTAAAACGGGTTTCAAGAGCTCTCTGTAAGTCTTCTTGTTGCAGAGCACAGTAAGTCAAATCTTTGTTCAGCTGATCAGCACAATTTGACTAATCCAAAAGGGTCTCGGTACGAGCTTTGCCATGTGATAGAAAGAAGCAGTACCCCTGAAGTCAGGCTCCTTGCCAACTTTGTCTTCAAAGTGAGCAGAAAAGTGGGGACTACAAMTGGGAATCATATATGTCGGCCTCCCTAATGGGGATTCAGAGGATTAAAAGAGAAATAGGAGTTGAAACAAAGCCAAACACAAAGTAAACTCAAGCATGAAAGATTAAAAAAAACACGAAGTGTTTGGTGGTTAATCCCTGATTCTTGGAGCTCAAAGCCAACCTTCAGGCAACAAAACATCATAGCCACCGATATCAAAATCTTTTTTTCTTCTTGTCGCGTATCAGAAGGGTTTACAGGGGATGCTACGGAATTCTCACAACTAAAATTTGATTTCTTTACCTTCAAGYGGGACACTTTGTTAGAGTGAGCTTTTACTATTATCCCCAGAAGTTGGATAGAAAAGCTTTTCTCTGTCTCTTGATGTTGAACTGATTTACAGTTCTAATGGGACTGAAGAGGAGAATTTCATTGTAGGCAACCTGGGGCGTTTCTTGGCAGAGGTTTGTGCTTATTTCTCAGCATTTAGACATTTTAATTGATTTTTTTAGTTAGTTTGATACAWTTGCAAAGTAGTTTTAATGGTCAAATCAAACTGTGTTATATTTACTTGTTTCACTATAAGTTGTTTTCTTCAGGAGCCTTAAGCTACAAACGTCTTGGCGATAATAATTTGTCATTGAATATATTTTTTAACACAATACATTTTTAAAAATTTGTCTTGACTGTTATCCACTGTAAATATTCTGTTGAGTCTGATGCATTAGCTGTGTGCTGGCTGTATTCTCCATACGAGGCATAATGGACTTGTCAAGCACTGAAGGTGATTTTGTGGGCAGCGGCAAAAGAAAATACCAAATCCATTCAGTCTTCATAAAGTGTCAAAAAGAGAGTTTCACCAGCTGATAAAAAAGCTGCAGTGCTAAACCAATCGTTTCCAGAGATATTTCAGAATGTCAGCGGTCCGGTTGATAGCAATACTGGAAGCACATGTTAAAATGAAAACCATTCTGATATCCAATTGACCCTGAACAGCAACTAGCACTGTGCCTGAGTAGAAATATATGGATGTATTTATTTATTTTACATAGTGTCAGTATGATCTAGGCATCTAAGCATAGGGGACACAGAACAAACAAACAAACAAACAATAGAACGTTCAAAAAAGCATTTGATTGATGTAAAAATGGGAAAGAAATATTATGATGGACAAAAACTCCAGAGGCATTGTTGAAAATATGACTGACATATTGTGGCATCGTATTTATTTATTTTTTATGTGTGACAATATCTGACAAATAAATRTAGCCTTGATGTGCAAAAGCATTAAGACAGAGTGAAGGTATAAAAGTTTGCATYGTTCCAGACAGCGTTCAGCTTCAATGCCGGGGTTAAACAGCAGGGAGCTTGGCTCAGGCTGCCTGTAATTTTTCACGAGTCAGAAAGTTTTAAACCTGTCTCCACTGGGAGTAAAATGTTTTCTGATGTTCAGCAACAATAACAATCTTTACTGAGCCTAAAGTGGTCTGTATCTTATTGCAGGATTCCTGTGATTGTCCTTGAACAAATACAGTAAAACATCACTGCACCAGTTAAAAACAGAAGTAAAAAAATGTCTTATTCAGATCAAAGTGTCTGATTTTGAAACGAGGTTAAAATTGAAATCTTGTGCTCAGACTGTAATGTGAATGACTTGGTTATTAC